CCCCTCGAGCTGGGAAACCAGAAACATCTGTGCCCCAGCAGCTGTGTTGATAGAGCTACGGCATCAATAAAAGCCTACACAACCGGTTGCTTGAATTCGTTGAAATAACACGGCGTTGTGGTTTAACCCGGCAGGCAGCGAAACACCACGCGGCCATTCGCTCGCTCTCCCCCTCCCCGGTGGGAGATCGGGGGGAGAATCGGAAAAAAAAAAAAGTAAACTTCGTGGGCTGAAATAAAGACGGCTTCACAGGACTAAAAAAGGAAGGGAAAATAATAATAATGATGAGATACAAAATAAAGGATGCATGATGCAACTGCTCACCACCCGCTGACCGGCGCCCAGCCAGTCCCTGAGCAGCGATCGCTACGCCCTGGCCAACTTCCTGCAGCTTATCCCCCACCCACCCCCCCCCCCATTTTCTGTACCCACCACGACGCTGTACGGTACGGAACGGCCCTTTGGCCACTTTGGATCAACTCTTCTGGCTGTGCCCCCTCCCAGCTCCTCCTGCGCCCGGGAAGCTGAAAAGTCCTTGACCGGTGCAAGCATTACCCAGCAACAACTAAACCATCGGCGCGTTACCGGCGTTGAATAATCCAAATCATCCGAAATCCGAAACGCGGCCCTACGCCAGCTACTGGGAAGAAAATGAACGCTGTCCCAGCCGAAACCGGGACACGCGGATTTGCAAAAGAAGAGCACGGCGGGCACCAAGTGTATTGTTGTAATGTGTATTTACATGCTTATCCACCTCGCGTAATTCCGTTGGGAAAAGGATCTCCTGATCCACGGCTGCGGTAAGCGGTCTGATGCCACGCGTGCATCTCCCCGGGCGCAGCAGAGGCAGGCGGCTGTTTTGTTTGGGGTTGGGGGGCTTGGTTGGGGGCTTTCTTTTGTCTTTGGGGTTAGGGGTGTTTGGGGATTATGTCTTGATGGTGTTTTGGGGGGTCTTTTTTGTTTCATTTGGGGGTTTTGAATTTTTAGGGTGGGCAGGTTGGGGTTTGAGTTTTTTGGTTTTGCGGGCGTTTGGTTGGGGTGGGGTTTTTTTTTTTGGTTTTTTTTTTTTTTTTAAAAAAACACTAAAACATTTCAAAAGGCCATGCAAATCCACCATTGCACTAGATTCCCTCCCCCTCCTTTTTTCATCCTCTTCCAACAAGAAGAAAATCTATTTGCTGAAATTCGTTCCCTCAAGTGAGTAGCTTATGGAGCTGACTGGCTTCTAGGCAAAATACAGCTTTCAAAGTGCACAGAAAACACTCAATAAACTTTTTCTGATGCAGTGATCCAGCAGTAATGACAGAGTCTAGCTTGTCTGAGCGGAAAATTGGATGAAAATACAAACTCAAAAGTGTTGGTGTAGGGTTTTACCAAGAAAGCAGGTGTTCGTTTCTTCACATCCACTTTGGCGAACGGGCACGAAGCTCCTGGCTATGGGATCTTTCATTACGGGAACATTTTTTGCTTCCAGAGGACGTAGTCATCGTGTCTGCTGCAGAGCCAGTTCTTCTTTGTGTTGCAGAGGGACGAGCTGATCCTCTCCTCGTTCAGGTATGCGCAGGACCCACCTCCCCGCACCTCAAACCTGCAACGCAGCCGCACTCAGGAGAGCAAGAAAAGGAGGGGAAGCAGAAAGCTACCCCCAAAAAATTAAGCACAGATGGGATTTGCTCTCTAGGAGAGAAAGGGTGGCATTTGGCTGAGGGTATCTAATAGGGGGTTGGCGTGCAGCGTCCTTGGTCCGTGGTCCACCTCCCATGGAAAGCCGGGTGATGCTTGGGCGTGGTGGCGGGAGAAGGTCCCCGTCCCAGGATGGGTCATCCCAGACCCTCTCAGAAATCCCATCCAAGGCGGGGAGAAGCAACGCAACAAACGCTCGCAGCCCAGAAAGCCAACCCCATCCTGGGCCGCATCCCCGGCAGCGTGGGCAGCGGGGCGAGGGAGGGGATTCTGCCTATTTAAACTAAAGA